ACCTGTAGTTAGGAAAATAAAAAGAAAAAACAGTTGCTAATGTCCTACAAGAAAGATTCATTCATGTTACTGCCTTAGAAAAGTACTCCCAGTAAGCACACAGGCCCTGTAACACTGGTAGAATCAAGAGGATTTCTTGTGTAGGCAAAATGTTTCAATACTTTAAAAAAATTAACAAAAACAACTTGTCATAAGAAATGGCCTTTTAAGTCAGACCAGTAGTCTAATTTAGTGCTGTCTCTGACAGTAGCATTAAGGAAACACTGTCTAGAAAGAGTAAAAGAGCCTGACCTCTCAGTACAAAGATCAAAAAAAAGAGAAATGCAATCAAGGGAAATGGATTTAAATTCAACCACAGTCTCTGTCTGAAAAGAACACTTTGTAAAACAGCTGTCAGCAAAGACAAAACTACAATAATACTTTCATGTTAAATTTCATTGGGCTTGAACTATATTCAATATATTCCATTTCAGCCTCCACACCATTAAACTGGAAGAACTAGGAATTGCAGAGCCATTTGTGATAGCAAGAATCCAAGTGGTATTTGTTACTGAAAGATAAAAATGACATCTTACCATCTTGATAACAAGATTTATTGACAAGCCCTGGATTATCTGCAAGGGCAGCATTAACCTCAGTCACTTCTCCTGAGAGAGGAGAATAGAGTTCGCTAGCAGCTTTCACACTTTCCAAAGCTCCAAACTCATCTGAAACACAGAATACGATTGAACGCTTTCAAGAGGAAAACACAAAGCACTACTTAGATTTTTTTAGTCAGACATTCTGGTGGTGACCTAGTCATTGAAGGAGTATCTTGATCTTGAGCAAAGAGAACTGTCAAAGAGATTGAAGTCATCAACTTTATGACAGTGATCATCAGTATTAAATTTGATGTTTATGCTCCTGAATTATTCTGGGGAACTTGCTCAAGCCCTACAGCATATACGATATGATAGCAGGTTAGAAGGAACCACATCCAGCTCTTGCTGCAAGAGACCTAAATACACCTTTTACCTACAGTTTAAACCTTTTTATACATCATTTGGTTACAAAATAGACACAGGCACAATTTGGGGAATCCCAGTTTCTCTTCAGAAATGCTACCAAGTGTTACATTTGCAGTCAGTGGAAAACACACATTAGTATTCAGAAGCACCACCCTGGAATCACCCAGCGGCTCTTCCCTTTTTCCTGTTCTGTAGGCAGTTATGGAAACGGTGCCTGGAGCAGTGTTAGCCCAGAGCAACTCTAAGTCACAACCAAACAAGACAGAGGCTGGAGGAACACAGGAGGGTAGATCCTGGTAGCTCCTGGCTGGAGCTGCCAGGAGGGTAGATAGGGATCAGCACAAGGAATTAGAGAACAACATGTTCTGGGAAAGTTTGGAATTAGACTAAGGCCAGAATAAATAGAAAAGAGAAGAACTAAATGGGAATAAAATTCCTTCAGATAAAATGAAACTACAAGTTGGTTAATTAAAACCCTAAACAGAAAGACCTCTTGTCTAACTCTCACCGTTCAATGTGATGTAATAGATTTAGCCAAACCAGTTTGATATGGACCCATTCCACAAGAAGCATGGCAAGAGAAAGGCCTCTACCTCAGTAAATCTACATGCTTTTTCTGCAGTGTCTGAAGCTCATGACAATCTTTTCTTCGCGTACCAGTGGGACAGCTCACAGTGTAAATACAGGAACAGGCTTTTCCTTTCTATCTATTGATGCTGACTCTTTTTTAACATGGACAGTCACATAACTGAATGATTTTCTGCTACCATGCATGGTCTGACAGTGAGAATTTGAAATTAAAGCTGTCCCTTGTAGAAATACCCAAATTTATTTTGCATCCAAAAGATTTATAATGGTATTAACGAACATAAGGATTACTTTATAAAAATAATCTTTGCAAAGGGAGAGTGGGATGAGTTGAATAATTACTTCATTAGAAATTAAAGCTGAAACTTACCATGTTTACTCAATTTTGTCCCAATTTCTGGAAGACTACAGTAAACAACATCTCCTAATGCTTCCTTAAAAGAAAAACAAAAGCATCAAAGCATACATTAAAGAAACTATACACAGGAGAGATCTGACACAGTAACTCTAAGATCTGTATTTAAGTTATCTCTGTCTCTAAATTTAGTTCTCACTCTTTAAGGACTGCGTATTTTTCACTTCTTAAACATTTAACTCGAAACAAACGGTTTTGTTATCATGCCCCAAATGCCAAGTTATTGTTTTTCTGTTACAGTGTTAATAACCCCAGGCGGAGTTACAGGTTTATATGCAGATTTCTTCAGGCAGAATGAGAAATAACATCCACTGATATTCTTAGCATCAGCTAGATGCTAACAAGATGCTAACAAGATGCTAACAACTCTTTTAAAGGACAAAGTTCCCAATGATTTGAGGGAATTATCTTTGTTGTGACAAAGCACAAAGGATTTACTTCCAGTGCAGTTTGAAAGAAAATGCAACGATTCCTCCTGAGAGACATGGACAAGTGGAGAGCTGTTAGCGTGCTGTCTGTCCTTACTGACTTCATAAGGAGCCTTATCACCATAAGAATCAGCTCAACCAGAATAAGCTTCTCCCTCTTCATTGAAAAAATGTACCCTATCTCACAAAAGACTAGGGATCTTAGTGTTATTTACAGAAAACCGAGATGCTGCTTGTCCTAACAAACATTAATTCCCCTTCACCGATAGCTTCTGACATTAGATTTTCTTAAGTTTCACATACAGTGAATCTCTGTCCTGAATTTACCTGTGACTATTCCAAATCAAGTACTTGCACGAGAACAAAACAGAACAAAAAACCCAAAGGAATTCCTGTCCTAGAGTAAGAAACACATGCTGTGTTGTACTTATAGTCACAATTGTTCTTTAGCCAGGACTGCACTGTATTCATGTTCAAGGGAAACTGGGCCTAAAAAGTGCATGATATCCTCTTCACATAGCCACAAGCTGCCCAGTCCTGCAAGAACTGAAGTAATAAAGGAAGTTTTAAATTCTAAAATGAACCATTAAGTTTCTCATCAAGTTCAGCTCTCCATAGGCTCAAGCTGAAGTGATTAAGAATTTATCAGAATGCTGAAGCAGCATTCACTTCATAAATAATGTGATAGATCCAAGTCCAAAAATCACACTCAGTGTGGAGCAGATGCAATTAGAATAATAAAAAACAGGAGCTGTCCAAAGAGCAAGGACAAGAGCAGGTATGTGTAAATAAACATTGCAGACTTGGGTAAGAGGGGGAAGGATCAATACCTGTGCAAAATTGCTGATTCCTACTGTTCCAATGCCATTTTCAACTGATATCCATTCATGCTTGTCTGTGAATTTGCGGGCTAAAATGAAACAAACTTGATATTTCAGAAATAAGTGACCTGTTGCTTACTTAAATACAGCACCACATTCCCAGGCTTAAACTGTGAGGTTAGTTTTGATTGTTTTTCTTGGAATATGTTTTAAACAGCACATTGAATTTACAGAAGCATTTTGTTCTGCTCATGACATGCTTTGTGACACAGCAGAAGCTCACTAGGTGTTCTGCTGAGAGTATTACTAGTTCCTGTGCAATCACCTAGATGTACAGGAGCAAAAAGAGTAGTTGTACTTCAAACCAAAGTATAAATCTAAAGCACATGTGTGTATTTTACTCATAATTATGCATTTCAACGATAGCAGAGTGGCTTTTCGAGCATATTTAGTGTTTGTTTCCAACAACCACTTTATTATTCCTGGGAAGGCCAGTGTTAATGACTCGTTAGAAACAGCACCAGTATTAACAGCATCTCTGAAGTAAAAAACCTGCAATCTAGCTAGCAAGAGTGGCTGATTCTCTTCCCTCCTCCTGACATTTCCTACAGAGTCTATTTTTCCTGTTTAATATTGTCACATCTATATAAATTAAAGCAAATTAATAGAGAGCAAATTAATAAGGTGACTCATAAAGGCAACTGTTACTTAAGAGAATTTGCTCCCTTTTCATACTGTTACTGCGAGAAGCACACAGTAGTTATTCTGTATACTTTTAAAAGAAACATATTTAAGACCCCGTTAAAGCTTTTCACAGCAATCTCACAATTCTACATATATTTTAGATCTGCAAGATTCAGGACAGCTTGTAGTAGCTTTTTATAAGTTTTCTAGAGCTCAGTAGAGCAATACATGTTTTTGCAGATACAGTCCACAAAAAATTTTGAGTAAAACACAAATATGAAGTATTTTTCCATGAATTATCATTCCAGAGAACTTCAGCTAGCATTATTTATACCTACAAAAAAAAGACCTCTCTCAGGACATATTCTAATGAACAGAAGAATCAAATGTCTGAAATAATTTTAGGTCAAGACATTAAACCCATAGGAATTTCATTGGAAAAGAATAATGAACCATAAGAATGGAGAATGACACAATCTCAAACTCAAGTTGAACATTTGTGACATTACACATGTCACAAAGAAGCCAACCAATATCTTTTTTATGGAGGATAATAATATTGTACATGATTTGTTTATAAAGCAAGGTTAAAAAAAGAAAAAAGAAAAACATAAGTCTTCCATGATCAGGTTGGAACACAGCAGTAAAATGCTGTCAACAGTTAGAAAAGCAAATAAGCTTTTTGTAGGACAAAAAAAACCCCAAACAATATGAAAAATGAAAAATTCTAACCATATAATAAAAACCACTCAAATAAAGTAAAGGTCAAATTAAAGAGTTAATAAGTAATCTCAAAATTTGAACTTTGAGCTTATGTGATCAGACCATTAAATAAATCAAATTAAATGAATAATGAAATGTCAAAGCATACCAAATCTCTTCTGCTAGCATTCTTTCTCAGAAGAGCAGCTAAGTTTACTTTCATTCATTTCAGCATGACTTTGGTTTCAGCTTAACCAGCACGTTCTGCATTCAGACCTTCATTTAGTTTAGCCTGCCTCTGTTAAATATTTCATAAATATATACCTGAAGAGTGAAGAAAAACTCACACCTCAACAAAGAGGCATACAAAATTTTTCCTCTCTGCCTAAAACAAAAGCATAATTTATGTTATTTCTTCAACTTATAACTACAGAAAAACAACGGGTATATTAAACAACTGATGCAGTGAAAAAAGCCTAGATCTTGAATCATTTAATTTGCAAATAATGACTAATAAATGTTACTTCTTTCACTTGCAGCAGATAGACGGGTTAAAGGACTATCTGGAAGGAAATTTATGATGTCTTCTTAGTGGCAGTCATTACTTTTACAGCATATTCTCCTCCT